TCTTTGAAGACTTCTTTTATATTTTTTTTAAATAAGTACCCGTTAGGTCTGATTAGTATATTGGTAGGAAAATAACATAGCTCCTAGACCAAATGAAGAATGAATAAACACGGACTGTTCCATTCCCTTTAGGTTTTTTAATAAACCTAAAGTATATGCTTCCCCTTTCGCTCCACACATTGAGTACTACCATCCCCCCGGCAGAGCCTCAAGAGAGTGAGAAGTGGTTAGGCACTGCCATCCTGACCAGCCACGGGGCACTCTGCAGGTACCTGTGAAGCGTCTCGGCCACGCTGGAAAAGCAGCCCAGGGAGAGGAGGACCAGGAGGGCCTTCGACTTCTGGTTGACTTGTGGAGAGCAAAGGTGGTCAACCCACCGCTTTAACACATCAGCGCACTCTTCAGAATTTAAACGGACCTGACAGAGATGCGAGGTTAAAAACAAAGACATCCTGCACTATATAAAGAAAAATATAATTCAATCAAAATGGGATCTGTTCCTATGAAACAAATGCTAGGCTTTGCTTTATTAGCACCCTGCCCTGACGCAGCTGCCTACCACGAACAGGAGTGAGAACGGCCGAGCCTGTGAGAGCCAGGGGCCTGGCAACACCTCTGGGCGGTAGTCTGGGCTCACACCCAGCAGGGAGAGGAGCCAGCTGCTTTCATTTCAATGCAATCTCCATTTTTCAATAAGAAGAAATGTAATTTATACTCATAAAGAACAGGAGGATGAGAGTTGTAAGAGAACATTTGCAAAGCAGCTTTATAGCCAAAAGATGCTTCTGAATCATGAGTCAGAAGCTCAGGACTGAACTTTCTGTCCCAAACGCTCACGGCACTGACTGGAATCACCTACTTTTGCAAGCCATGCTGCCCGGTTCCACTCGCCGTACGTCTGCAGGTAGCGGCAGGCATCTGCAGCCTTGTCTATCAGGCAGAGCAACTGAACACCCTCTGGAAGACAGAACAGCAGCCCCAAGTGACACTGCACCTCTCTCTCTGACAAGTCACTAAAAAGGAAAATCACTATTTGACTTCATCTAGTCTCGAGCACTTTATGCCTACTGGAGACATTCCTGACTTGAATTTTAAAACAAAATATTAAAATGCAGTTCTGCAACGTTACTCGTCACGTAACCAGGATAGGAAGCACAAATATAGTCCAGAAAATGAACAGTAAAGCATCTCTCACTTATTGGTTTTCGTTGTTTTAGTTTGCCCGAGTTTGTCCAATTTATGCCTATTGTTTTGGTAATTATTAATAGTGCCCCCTTTCACTCTTATAAAGTGTTCTGGTTTAGGTGATTAAATTATATGGTAATCTTATAATTGGCTAGCAATAATCTATTTTTCTCCAGCATATATATATATATAAAAAAAGAGAAATATCCCTAATAATCAGCCACTTTGCTGGGAACAGGCCTGATTTCCCAGAATACTAACAAATATGCCCACGAAGCGCGCCTCACCTGCCAGCTTGCCATTGGCAATCATATTAGTTGCCACCAGCTTAATGGTGCTCTGGGAGGGGCCCGATGAGGTGACTGTTGTGACCAAACAGGCTTTCAGTGAATCACAGTAATAATGCTGGTTATCTGCACTTGTTTCCAGTAGCAACTGTACAGCTCTGTCTGTCTAACAAGAGAAACAGTTCTTCTAATTATGAGACCATCTTCCTCCAACATAACCTCTTTTAACTCATATTTGGAACACAAGTTTATAGCTGAAAGAAGACTTTCATTTTCAAAAATTGCTTGTGGGGGCTGGCCTGGTGGCGTAGCGGTTAAGTGTGCACACTCCGCTGCGGGGCCGGGGTTTGCCCATTCGTATCCCGGGCGCGCACCGACGCACTGCTTGGCAGGCCATACTGTGGCGGCGTCCCATATAAAGTAGAGGAAGATGGGCACGGACGTTAGCCCAGGGCCAATCTTCCTCAGCAAAAAAAGAGGAGGATTGGCAGATGTTAGCTCAGGGCTGATCTCCTCACGAATAAAAAAAACAAAAAAACCCCCCAAAAAACAAAAAACAAAACAAAAAAAATTGCTTGTGAATGCTTTGTTTACATACACACACACTGAACAGAAGTACCGCACTGCTTCTCGGGACAAACATAAAACCACAGTCTGGTTTATGTCAGTGCTCAAGTGACAGCTTGTTTTAGCTTTGTACCAGTCAGTTCAGAAACACATAAACAAAACAAAACAGACAGGCTTCATTTGACCTCATGGAAGCCAAAACTACAACCTGGTTAACCATGTATTTTTGCTGTCTCACAAGGTTTGTTGGTCTTATTTTGAAAGAAAGCCTAAATTTTCTTATACTTCCACAGACACACTATGATATATATATATTGTGTGTGTGATGCTCTGAAATACGAATCGCCTAGCAACTCCATGAAACATCCAGAGAGTTATAAAAACTGACGTACTTGACCCAGGAGAAGGAGCTGGTCTGTACATTTCCTGGTATGATCATAAGTTGACCGTTTGACTTCCTGTAGATTAACCCTTTCCAGCTGAAATTTCTACAGTAGGAAAAAAGAAAAGGGAAATTGAGCCTGGATTGTAAGACTTGAATTATTTAAATTTTACTGTAGCTAATCAAGTCATTTTAATAAACATTACTTTGACTTCTGAGATATTAGCCAATCAACTTTACAAAAATCCAACTTAATAAGAATTTGAAAAGAAATTTAATAAGAATTTGAAAAGAAAAAATGTTGAAATGTAATCTGTGTGCAGGTCTGCCTGTTTACAGAAACGGTCACTTGAGTAGAAGTGGATGAAAAAAACCCTACATGTATTGAAGTACCCTACTGGAGGTCAAAAACATTAAGAAGCTACCTTTCTATATATAGAATAGCAAATTCAAACCAAATAAAAGAAATATTTATTTGCAGAAAATTAATAAAGAGCTAATATTAAAATGAACCCTCTAAGTTAAAAATGTTAAGACAAAGAAAAAATTAAAAGACTGTTAATAAAATTTTAATGTGTATTAAAAAACTCAGTGAGTGTTTATGAGCTTTTCAAGTCCCGAGTCAGGGCTTTTTTATGTGAAAGTGCCAAGGGACTCATTTCTATTATGCAGAGCTTAACTTAGTTTGAAAGTTTCCCAAGTTTAAGACACAAAGACGTAAGTAATAAAGATGACAGCTTTACAAGTTTTACTCTATGGAATGTACTACCTGAAAGTAGGCATTCTCACAGAGTATATCATAACATATATCTAGCGGGTTGGTCACTTTGTCCCGAGGAGCGGTTTCTGTAGTGGCTGGCACACTCGCGGACTTTTCCTGGGACAAGCTGTGTAGGTAGTGGGCTGCGACGGTCCAGAAGTGCAGCTCCGATTCATCACCATAAAGCCTGAGAAGGGTGAAACCAAAGTTCCCACTCAACTCATACAGCGGACTCAGAACTAGACAGGAGCTTCCCACAGTAGCCTGAAGTGCTGGGAGCACAGTGCTGTTACGTGAGAGACCGTTTGGGACACTGGTGTGTGCCTGGCAGGGTGAAAGAGGCGAAGCAGCAACTTCTGCAGCCTCGTTACTGTGTCTCAAACAATACAGGGACCTGACTGCATAGGGCCGCTTCACACTCAAACCTCTCTCTGTTCTGTGTTAATAGCAACACTGTGGTTCTGAAGCCTGGGCCATTGTTGACCAAGACATCTTTCAAACCGGGCCAGAACTTCATAGTAAGGAAGAAGTTCTTCTTCGTAACTGGTTAGATAAGGTGTGGAAATAATTTGCAATTCATTCTCTGGGGAATGGAGGGAAATGTCTTTTTTGTAAGTGACAACTCTACCGTACAGCGAGGAAGTACAGTTTACTGCTTCTAAATCTAACTTTTCGGTATATTTAAGGACATGCCCTTTGTGGCTGATAGTTTAAAACACAGTTTAAAAAGCTGTCAGTAGGAGGGAGTCTTTTCAATAGAGAAGGCCTAGATCTCACATTTAAAACATAATTTCTTTTCCTATTTCTATTACTACTTTCAAAATTAATTGTAAGTCAGATCTAAAGGATGAACTGATATGTTTTTCTAACATCTAAAAGAGTTGTTTGGTCTTAACTAAAAACTCTTAATAAGAGAAACGAGTTAACCTGAAATTCTCTGTCCCTTACACAGAACACTCACACAGGGTTACCTTGAAACGAGCAGGCATCTCTGCAAGAGCGTGAATTCTGGATCAAGCAAGAGTTTCTTTATGTCACTGCAGACAGGAATCCAGACAAAGGCAAGACAAAATTTTTGAATCAAACAATAAAGCAAGGAAATGAGTCAATATACTCTTGAAATGGTAAATTCCACTCAAAGGGTATGTTTAGAACTTAGGAAAGAAGTTACGTTGCCATGACCTTGAAATTACAAAAGCTTCCTAGGGCTTAGAGGGTACCTAGGCTGGGAAAGTAGAACCATCAACCACCACAGGGGCTGGAGGCTCTGATTCTGGTTTACATTCTTTTTTATCTATCTATCTATCTATCTA